GGTTCTATCCTCAGTACTACATAGGCAGCTTCACACACATGAAGAGATGCTACCTAGGGAATGATTGTGGGGCCTGTAGATAAAGCATCTAACCTTGGATAATAAAAATAGACTTAGAAGCTATCTTAGTTACTTTTCTGTTGCCATGACAAAACACCATGAGCAAGACAATTTATAAAAGAAAGCATTTAATTTGGGGATTGCTTACAGTGTCAGATGTTGAGTCTGTGATCATGGTGGGGAGGCATGGCAGCGGGCAGTGGGCAGCGGGCAGCAGGCAGCGGGCAGCAGGCGTGGTGCTAGACCACTGTCTGATCCACAAGCAGGGTCTGGCATGGGATTTTGAGTCCTCAAAACCTACCCCAATGACACACCTACCCCAACAAAGCCAGACGTCCTAATCCTTCCCAAACAGTTCCATCCCATAGCCTATGGTGACCATTCTCCCTCGTGTAGCTTGGTGATAGAGCTCTCACCTAACATAGGGCAGGGCCTAGGGGGGAGGGGACTTACAATTTTCCTGTTGTTTGCAGATGTTTATTTTTGAGATGGGGTCTCATGTCACCCAGGCTGGTTCAAATTAGATATAGACTTGAAGCTGACCTTGAACTTCTCGCTTTCTTGCTTCTACTTCCTAAGTGCCTAGGATAACTGGTATACACCAACATGGCCAGTTACTATACTGAGAATTGAACTCAGGGCTTTGTGGGTGATAGACAGGCACTGTACCGACAGGGCTCTATCACCAGCACCCAAGGTGTCTTTTAATAAGTATAGAAACCAATCTCAACCTTTGCTTGTTGCATTCACTCTAAGACATGAGAGGGTCACATCTCTTTGGATGTTTTGCCTTAAGGCATGATCTCTAGCCTGGCCAGACTTGTCATGGTGTTGCTTTGCATATTTACAGCAAGAGGGTCGAGGGTTTGAGGTGGCGGGACCTGGGAATGGGAGACACATCTCGTACCCATTCCTCCCACACTCACGTTCTGCCTGTTGTTCTCCATCCCTTCTCTTTGCAGACCGGCATTCTCAAAGCTGGAGGACTCGTTCGAGGCGCTCTCCCTGTTCTTGGGGGAGTTGGCCATCCCACTGCCAGCAGAGCTGGAAGAACTGGACCACACCGTGAGCATGGAGTATGGCCTAACCCGGGACTCGCCACCCTAGCCCTGGTCCATCCCCCTGCAAGGGGACATTCCACAGCCAGCATTGCCCCCTCTGCACCCTGTCCTTGCAGAGAGCAGGACTGCCTAAGTTTCCTGTGGATTGACGGCTTGCTTAGAAGCACAAGCCATCCCTTCTACCTCCCCAGGAGGCACTTGGGTGCAGGGAAACAATTCTCCACGGGTTTGGGGCCTAGTTTCTATCTGTAAATCCAACTCACCTGAAGCTGTGAAGAGGATAAAAGAGCCTGGATTCTAGACCGAGAGTCTGTTACTAGGGACTGCTCGGCCTCTGTGGATTGAGAGTCTGGGAGGCTGTAGCTTTACACTAATCAACATGACCTGGGCCTGCTGGGCAAGATGACGGAGTGAACTGGCCTGAGCGCTCTGGAGTCTGGTTCAGCAAGGAGCAGGACTTCAAGCGGTAGTATGAGTAACAGAAACGGGGAACCTTCAAAGCATGTGAAATGACAGTAGTGATTTCTCCTTCCATCCCGGGCCATGCCCTTTGGAGCAGGTTTTGAAGAGTCTTAGTGTGTGGTGAAACCTACAGGATCCAAAAAAAAAAGGACTGGTTCCTGCTCACCAGCCCAGGGCCAGCCGCATCAGTGTGTGGAGAGCTTCAGCTTCCTGTCTCAACAAGCAGTCACTCACAAAAACACCAAAGAAGCTGGGGCTGGAAACAAAGAGGCCCTGCCCTCTAAAAGCCCCATATCCAGGCTGGTGGGCTCATGGGTTCTGGGTGCCAGTATGGTCTGCCTCAGACTTTGGGTCTAAGCAGGGAGAAGGGGGTTCCATCAATTTCTTTGCACCCTGTGGCAGCTACTGCACATCTCTAGAATGTCTGGTCCAGGCAGCAACTCAGGACGGGCATGGTGGCTGCTGAGTCCCCAGATGCGAAGACAGCTTCCTGAGCTGGGCCTTGTAGATTCTACCTCTTTTGTTGCTGGTCCAGCTTACTTCCTGAGCCACACTTGAGGGCCAGGGGCATGGGAAACTCTGGGGGCATTTTCCACCCCTGGCTGCCAGGTGTCCTGGGACTCTGTAGCTCTCCAAGGTTTGTCATCTCCTAAGCAGGAGCTCACACCATATTTAACAAATTGGGAATGGGTTTGGTTATAAGTCCGTGTGATGGGTTGTACTGATGAGGGGTCTGGGAAGAGCAGTTGCTGTTATTAGCTTTTATCTGTGGGGTGATATGTGAACTATTTTGTACATAGATGAGATGAATTATGGGATGGGACGTCTTTGGCCACTGTTATTGCTGTGTGGACTGTACTTGTGTGTGGAGTTTGCAAACTCACTGGAGGGGGAATCCTGAACTCCCAACTGCAGCATGGTTCAGCATCCTGTAACCGATTATGCTTGCGCTGTCCCCAGCAAGTGTGGGCATGGCGGGCCTGCGCTGGGCCATGAAGCAGACTAAATAAATTAAGCAGTTAATATAGCAATGACAGAGAGTACAAAAATGACTCAGGACCTGACTTAAGCATGGAGGAGAGTGGGACAGAGAATTCCGGCTGGCGGTCACCAGGGCTTGGTTCCCAGCACCCACATGGGTGGGTCTCTACCATCTGTACCTCCAGTTCCAGGGGCTCTCCACCTCATCTCAGATCCGTGGGCTCCTGCACACACGTGCTGTACACGCATGCTCTTGGGCACATTCACATTTTAACATGTTTTAAAGAACCATGGTCTGCTGGCCTCTTTCACATAATTTATCAGTAATCCAGAGATCATACACATCCACTTGAGATAGCCCTTTTGAAGAGCAGGTTGATGACCTCAGTTTAGGCCCACAAAGCTATTAGGCCTGGATCTCAGCTGCTGACCCAGTCCTCGGGGGCCTTCTGCTTCCAAAGCTGTTGCACCAAACCGCTGGTCCAAATAATGTTTGGTAAGCCCCATAGCCTCTGCCAAGTGTGGTAGTATGTGTTTATAAGTCTACACATGACATAACAGAGGCTGGGGGATCACTATAAATTCAAGGCCAGCCTAGTCTACCTAGTGATTTTCAGGTCAGCTATGGATACAGCACCGAGAGCCAGGCCTAATAGCTTTGTAGGCCTAAAATGAGGTCATTTTTGCTGGATCTCACACCCAGCCAAAAAATTTTTTTTCTATAAACCCAAAGATAATTTACCAAGCATCCTATAGTAGAAGACTTCAGATCAGGAGTAGAATACATGTTGGCAGTATTGCTGGCACACGCCTTTAGTCCCAGCAAAGGCAGGTGCATCTCTTGAGTTTGAGGCCAGCCTGAGCTGTTACACAGAGAAACCAAGAATGGAATAGAACACAGCCCCTAGTAAACACCTCATCTGAGGTTCCCGGTGCTGGATATACTTACAACTCAACCTGTTGCTGAGGTCTACTGATAAAACTTAACTAGTCCTGTGCCTTCCCAACACCCACAGCTTCATTCCCAGCCTTAGGTACGACCTGCAAGAGCCATTGGCTGCTGTAGAACTGCCAACTGCCCCTTTGTCTCTAACCCCAACAAAGGCCGTTAGGAGTATTCATCCTAAAACCTTGTTCTACCTTGGAAAGAAACTGAAGGGCAGGAGACTTAAGGGATCAACTTCTTGTGGCTTCAACTTTTTAAGATATCCATGGTGACCTTGACATGAAGCTTCTAGCAGTTCAGCTATTACTACCTCCCAGTGACTAGGAAGTGACCAAAAAGGCAAAAGTATGGACAAGGTTATTTGGGGAGCATTCCCACCATCACAAAAATGTCCAAGGTAAAACCATGTTTTGTGTTTATACAAGTCAAATGCAGAGCAATTTGCCATAGTTCATACACAGGTGTCAGAATGAGGTATATTAAACATACGGAGAAATACTTTCATAGGAAAGTAGGAAGTAGTACTGTTCTCTTTCCCACAGTCAGCAACACCGTGGGAACCCTGAGATCCAGGCCCTCTCATAAATGGCTCTAGAGAGCAGCCTGGTGAAGCCTGCTCTCAGTGTCAGGAGTAGAAGGGCTCCTGGCTGGGGACACTGCCAAGGCCAGGAGGCTGGGCACTCTCGGTAGGACACTCAGAAGCTGCTTTGATCTTGGGCAAGATACTTTTCCCCCTCTGGAAAACCCTCCAGGTCCTTCCCAGTGGTTCAGTGGTTGTTTTGTACTGGTTACAATCTTAAACCTATGGAAGGAACTGGCCTAGAGACCATAGGGCTGCCTACAAGCCAGGCTGGACTAGAAAGCAAGCCCACCAGGCCTTTGTTACCTAGCCTCTGCCATACTCTCTAGGCTCACCTTTCAGATGCAGGTCACCAGACCCTGAAGTGTATAACTCCCATGGGTTGGCTGGCTATTTTCTTATCAGCACAAAATGGAGTGGTTCCTCTATCCAGCCCCCAAAAGACAGTCTGGATATTCAGACCTACTGCATGAGGATGAAGGCAGAAGTGGGTCCTTCACCTAAGCGGAAGGTTTAGTGCAATTCTTCCCTTTCCTTATAAGACAGGAAGAGACCCTTGGGCTCAGCCCTAGTCCACAGTTGTCAAGGCACATTGCTGCCAGCAACTGGGGCACACCCAGCAGTCCCCATTTAGAACCCACCTGCAGCCCAGAATTCTAACTTTTGTACTAATTCATTTCTGGTTCTTAGAAGTCAGAAGGGACTTCCATCCCGAATCTATCTTCTCTTTCTTTCTTTCTTTCTTTCTTTCTTTCTTTCTTTCTTTCTTTCTTTCTTTCATATATATATATATATATATATATGTGTGTGTGTGTGTGTGTGTGTTTTAATGCTTGACCTTAACTATGAATAACAGTATATGCCACTCAAGTTCCTGGATGGCAAATAGAAAGGCAGAGACTGAGGCCACTTTCAGTATACAGCACAGAGGAACTTTAGCAAGCTCCCTGTCTTTCCCTGACCCAGGCAATGTGGAAGCCCTTATTTGCCACAGCACCACTGTGGCTACTGTGCCAGTCTCTCTCCACAGGCAAATCCTGCTCTAAGGGATAGAAAAGGAGCATTGATAGGGCCCTACCCAGCCTCCTCGCTCTCACCCATAATGCTATCTGTTGCTGCTTGTGTCATGAGGAGTCACATCCCCCCCGAAAGAAAAATGGGATAAGGTTTTAACCACAACACAAAATGTAGCCAACTGCAACTCCTCCCAACTGCAGGAGGGTGGCCTGTTCTGGTCCAGTGTCTCCATGCAAGGGCTCAGGCCCCAGGGGTGCCGGCCTGGCCCGTGAGGAGGGTGCTGCCCTCCTGCACATCAGCAGGAGTCTGGTTGCTGTGCACGATGATGGTCTTTTCGTCCACGATCTCACAGGTGGGGTTGGTGAAGGCAGACAGGGGCAGGGTGATTCGCTGCATCTCCCGCTCACACGCTTTCTGCTCATGTTGCTCTTTCAAGTCCTTCCCCCTGTCAGGAAAAGAAAGCATCATGTTATGTTTCTAGCATGGCTTTGCCCAGTGAGCCTTCCTGAAGCCTGAGCAGGTACTCACCTGGGTCACAGTGATCACCTGACTAAGTCAGAACTAAACCAGCCCAGGACCAAGACGTTGGCTAGCCATCCTACTAGGATGCCTTAAACTCAGCAGGCCAGTGTTGCCAGTTCTTTCTCTGCTGGCTGCTGTATGGGATTCAGTGGGGATAATGTACAAGAAAGAAAGACAGAGCTTTGTTTTCAGCCCAGGGGTCCCAGAGACCCAAAGAACTATCCCAGCTTCATCCCTACCAATGCAAACATCCAAAAAATGGACCAGACCAGGGCTAGAGAGATGGCTCAGAGGCTAAGAGCAGGGGCTGCTCTTCCAGAGGTTCTGAGTTCAATTCCCAGCAACCACATGGTAGCTCACAACCATCTGCAATGGGACCCGATGCCCTCTTCTGGTGTGTCTGAAGACAGCTACAGTGTACTCATATGCATAGAATAAATAATTCTTTAAAAAAAAAAAAAAAAAAAAGGACCAGACCATCCTACAACAAGACTTGCCTTCCTGGGCTGGAGAGATGGCTCAGAATGTAAAGGCGCCAACCACCATGCCTGACAACCTGAGTTTATTAGTGAGGTCACTAGTAACATCTCACAAGTTGCCCTCTGACCTCTACACCTGCAGTAACAGGCATGCGCCCTCTCCACCACAAAATACATTTTTGTTTGTTTTAAAAGACTGTCTGCTCATCCTAAAGTCCTGAAAAGTGGGAGCCCAGGCTGGAAATGAACCATTCCCAACCCGTGCAGAGGCAAATAAACCTCAAGGGCAAACAATGAAAATGGCTATCAAATCTCTCAAGTTTGTTGATGCCTCTGATTTCTCCTGATGCTCTGTGATCCATTTGGACCACAGTGCTGCTCTGGTTATGTGGAATAATCACTCCATGCCCTTGTGTGTGTGTGTGTGTGTGTGTGTGTGTGTGTGTGTGTGAGAGAGAGAGAGAGAGAGAGAGAGAGAGAGAGAGAGAGAGAGAGAGAGAGATCTTCAGT